TTGTTTAAAATTATGTTTAAGAATGTGTTTGTAAGACTGATCAGATTTTCATTTGCCAGAATGAAATTTAAGAACGTGTTTATAAGACTTCTCAGAAATTCATTAATGTTGTTTAGTCATCACTGAGCTTTATCAAATTTTAACTTCAACATTTAGTGGTGTTACGATGTGCGCTTGAGAGGGCCACCTAGTGGGATGTTTTTGGTATAGCGTGTCTTGCTCCTGCACTACATTTTGATCTGATAGAAATAAGATAATTAACTAGTTTGTTCATGTACCAAATACATTTGAGTTATCCTTTCTGTATAGATTCAGCTGTACATAAATGGGTGTTTAAAGCATTTCTATAATAATTTTATTTTATTTTTAAACAGAAGAAGCAGACTACAGTGCCTTTGGTACAGACACACTAATAAAGAAGAAGAATGTTTTAACCAATGTGTTGCGCCCTGACAACCATAGAAAAAAGCCACATATAGTCATTAGTATGCCCCAGGACTTCAGACCTGTGTCTTCTATTATAGATGTGGATATTCTCCCAGAAACACATCGTAGGGTTCGTCTTTACAAATATGGCACTGAGAAACCCCTAGGATTCTACATCCGGGATGGCTCCAGTGTGAGGGTAACGCCACATGGCTTAGAGAAGGTCCCAGGGATCTTTATATCCAGACTTGTCCCAGGAGGTCTGGCTCAAAGCACAGGACTATTAGCTGTTAATGATGAAGTTTTAGAAGTTAATGGCATAGAAGTGTCAGGAAAGAGTCTTGATCAAGTAACAGATATGATGATTGCAAACAGCCGCAACCTCATCATAACTGTGAGACCAGCAAACCAGAGGAATAACATTGTTAGGACCAGCCGGACTTCTGGCAGCTCTGGCCAGTCTACTGATAACAGCCTGGTTGGCTATCCACAGCAGATGGAGCCCAGCTTTGAGCCAGAGGATGAAGACAGTGATGAAGATGACATTATTATTGAAGACAATGGAGTGCCACAGCAGATTCCTAAAGCTGTTCGTAATACTGAGAGCCTGGAATCACTAACACAGATAGAACTCAATTTTGAGTCTGGACAAAATGGTTTCATTCCTTCTAATGAAGTGATCTTAGCACCCAAAGCAAGTGGCACAAATACAGAATTTGAAATGCATGCTCCAGATCAGAAACTCTTAGAAGAAGATGGAACAATCATAACACTATGAAACCATTGTTTGAACTGTTCTGAGTGAAGGATGTGACCGGGACTTGTAAATGTGGCTAGTTTAAAGCATATATACCTCTGAGCCAGGGACTTGGAATAGGCATGAGAAAAATAATATTGAAGCTTAAAATGTTATTATAATAGTAATTGATAATTGTTAATATACACCTTGGTGGGTCAGAGGTGGATTTAAGTCTAAAAGGGGCCTTTGCTAATGAAGTTCCATGCTTTTGCTATTTTGTCTCTAGAGAACTAGATGTTAGAGCACATTCTCAGCGCTGTATGAGAGGACTAGATCATTTCTGTTTGAAGTGGTTGCATATTTGACCTGCTGTGCAGAGCCCAGTTAATTGTTCTTTTCACTGTATTTTTAAAAATTCTACTGTGAAGAAGTCTGATTCTATCTTGTACCCTGGGGATCTCAGCTCCTATGTTCCATATTTTATTTTGATTTCTTAATTGTTATTCTCCTGTTGCTAATTGTAACAATTTTTTCAAATGCTTTTTTCCCCCTCATTTCTAAGAGTTCGAGCCAGTTGACTATTTTTAGAAAATTGCTTCTTATGTTATAAAGCATTGAGCTATATTCTGGACTTAAGAAACTTTAACAGCTGCCCAGGTTCATGTTTGTCCATCCTATAGCTTTCATATTTACACAGTCACTCTATTTGAGTGTAAGTTATGTTGTAAAAGGCAATTCCATCAACTCCAGTAATATGGGAGACTCCCCTCCCTTAACCTCTTCTCATTCATTCCCAGTCTCAACCTCACTGGAAATCATTGCTTTTGTTTGTGTG